ACTTTTTAGATGGTGTGGATCATTACATCTGGTGTAAAACACTGTAGATCAGAAAAATATCATACCAACAGTCAAAAATGGTAGTGGCAGTGTGATGGTCTGGGGCTACCTTGGTGCTTCAGGACCTGGACTACTTTCTATAGTTTATGGAATCATTCATTCTTTTCTCTAGCAGAAATTTCAAATTTTGAAAATTTAACCTTTGACAACCTTTGAGGTCGTTCTTGCTAGAAAATCCTATTTGTGAATTTACAGCATGGCCTCAGTGGCCTAAAGGTAGAGTGTTTTCCCTGGGACTGGGAAACAGGGGTTCAAATCCCTGTTGGGTCATACCAAAGATTTAAAAATGGGACCCAATGCCTCCACGATTGACACTCAGTTTTAAAGGGTTGGATTGGGGTATTAAATTGCCAACTAGTTCCTGAGCGCAGGCACCGCCGCAGCTCACCACTCCCCACAGGGATGGGCCAAATGCAGAGATGTAATTTCACCAGTGTGTGATGATGACTATGGGACCATAGTCTGGCCACTGTCTACTGATGACTCTCAATCTCACCAAACCAATAGAGCGCTGTGATTGGACCGCTAAGAATGTCAGTCACGAGGCAGTCCACCATACATGGTCCAAGATGATGCAACATCCCAGCCACCACAGAGAGAGTGGTGTGATTGGACAGGTGCCAGACTGTCCAGGGCTGTGGAGGTTCCAATGGAGCATTACTAAACTATACTTTTGCTTTGGCAACCTGACGGTCTAGATTCTAATTCCAATTCCAATTCCAATTAATTTATAAAGCACCAATAAAAACAGGAACATGTACCAAAGTGCTGTACAATAAAACAAGTAAAAGAGAAGGGAACAATACAGTGGCAACAAGATATACAAGTCACAGTAAAACCAACAACTTCAATCAAAGGCCAGAGAAAAAAGGTGAGTCTTCCGGCAAGATTTAAACACAATAAGAGAGTCTATCTGTTTTACACTCGTAGGCAGTTTGTTCCACAGCCTGCAACTGATAACTGAAAAAGCTCTGTTTCCTTTGCGTTTGCGTTTGGTCTGGGGAACCACAGGTAGCCCACGTTCAGCTAATCAAAGAGACCGCACAGGCACAGTCAGCAATGGCTACAGGTAGAGCGTGGCAAGGTCATTTTGGCATTGAAAAGCATCCATCCATCCATCTATCCATTACACCCGCTTATCCATGCAGGGTCGCGTGGGGCTGGTGCCTATCTCCAGCAGTCTTCAGGCAAACAGGCGGGGTACACCATGGACAGATTACCAGTCCATCGCAGGGCAACACAGAGACACACAAGACAATGTTAGCGAGACCAATCAACCTGACAGTCATGTTTTGGACCATGGGAGGAAGCCGGGGTACCTGTGGGGAATCCATGCATGCGCAGGGAGAACATGCAAACTCCATGCAGAGAGACCCTAGGCTGGGATGTGAACCCAGGACCTTCTTGCTGCAAGACAACAGCGCTAACCACTGTGTCACTGTGCAGCCCCTGTTTAAAAAACAAATACAATTTTAAAATCAATTCAGTACCTGACAGAGGACCAGTGAAGGCTAAGAAAACCCTTTAATGTGGCTGAATTAAAACAATTTTTTAATGAAATGCGGAACAAAAATTCCTCCACAGAGGACGCATTACCAGGTACCATAAACACTTTAGTCAACTGTTTCCACCAAGAGGGTTACAAATCACCAATTATGTTTTTGGGTCAATTCGTTTTTCCACACATGAGCAGGCTGGTTTCGATAGCTTTTCGCTGCAGGATTATTATTTTTTTATTTCTCTTGTTTTCTTACTCGTCTTGGTGCATTTTCTGTCTTTATTACAAATATTCAAAATCTGACATTTTTCCATTGATTCTGTGATGCTGAACTTTTGCTTTCTCATTATAGGAGAAAAAGTGCATTCTAGCTGCAATCTCTTGTCCTCTCAGGGGTGATTCCATGGGGTTTCTGGCTCACTTTACTCCTTGACTCATGGTTTATTCATATGCTGAGCATTCCAACGGTGCCAGGCTCTCCTCCCTCACTCCAATCACAAATATCAAAGTCTAGCAACAAAGGTATGATGCTTTAAAATAATTCAATTCGGTTTGCTTGTCCTTGTTTTTTATTATTATACTACGCAGCATGAAAGTTACACATGCCACACAAATGTGAGCAGGGTGTGAAACGTGGCAGAGACATTTTGAAACCTGCAAAGCCTCAAGTTGCTTGCTTCGTTAAAGGCACGTTTCCTCATAATTCAGCGTAAAAACTACAAAGGTGGATGGGTGAGTGGACATACTGAGAGAAAATGGCTTCAAAGCTTTTAAATGCATCGTAATAGATGAGCATCAGTAATGTTTTTACAGAAAATAAAGAAAACGAAAAATTTTGAGCTTGAGCACAACAACAGCAACAGGTAATGTGGTGATTTAAGTGAACGCCTAAGTGGGAAAATGAAAAATGTGTTGCATTTATAGTCAAACTCAGTCTCTCTTCCTTTTTAAGTCTTTAATTTTGGCTGTGGAAGTCCCTCCAGTCCTCCACTTCCTCCTCCCACAGTCTCATGTAATTTCCATGCAGCAGAAAGCATCTGGCCAAGAGGGCTCTCCGCTGCTCCAAGGTCACATTTTACAGCGTTACCCTCTAATATGCATTTTCATGGGTACATTTAAATCCGTGCTTCTGCCTTTCTGACAGGTTTTGTGGCTCGAAAACACTAAAATAAAAAAAGTTCAGTATTAAAATAAAACAATTCTAATCAATCAGATCAAATCTAACAACTAAAATAACAGCATGTGCCCCAAGGCTTAGAAATGAAGACCTTCATTGACTTCATTTGTCTGGCACTACAAATCCCAGAATGCATTTCTCCAGTTTCTTGCTTCTTTGGCAATGAAGCTGCGTTCAGGTGCTGCTCTGAAAATCAAGCTTCAACCTACGTGATCGAGATAGTGAAATGAACATGATGAGCAAATCTCTCAATGCTGGATTTGGAGCAGAAAATCTGTTTTGCTCCGGATTTTAGAAGCTTATGTTGAAGTAATTCTGATTATCATTTATCATTATCCTATTGCAGGGACAACAGAGTGATTAAAGTTGTTAACTTCTAAATAGGTAATAGCCCAACAGAAAAATAAAATAAAATAAATGAGCAGAGACCGTCCTAATATAACAAACAAAAAGTTAATTTAGACAAATTTAAGTTTCTTTTATGTGGTGGCCAATTTCTGCTAAATAGAAATTTAAAGCATAATAAAGATACAGTATCTAACTCAAGGGTGAGTTGAAATGGAGTCTTCTGATGGGTTTTTACAAAGTGAGAAAAGAGGCATTGAATATAGTATGTGTAGTTTCGTTTTTTTAGCTACTACCTCAGCATAATCTACCAAGGAAAGAATAAAACCTCCCCCACCCCTTCAAAATAAGAGTTTTACAGATTTGCAGGTACATGGAGTGCTTGGGTCATGATGGCCTATGCAGGGATTCCCTAAGTGTGGTGCACGCACCCCTGGGGGTGCGTGAGCTGCCGCTAGGGGGTGCGTGAGGTGAAAAGTGTAATAGCTGCGGAGCTCAGAGAAGTCAGTCATATGTCACCATTAGCGTAGCCAGAAACTCATTTGTGGGTGGGCCAAAGAAAAAGTAAGTGGGCACAATAAATGTAATTGAAAACAAGTATATTTTGCGCGCGCGTGTGTGTCCTCCGCATGTGCCCTAGCTTCATAATAACAATGCGCCGAGCTTCAGCGCTCTGGCCCGTGCACGCCGATATGTTCCGTATTTGACCATTTTTAACGATGTTGGAGAAATCTGAAGGTGGTGAGTCATTCTGGCAGATTGTAATTAACACCTGTCTCATGCAGGTGTTCTGACATTGTAAACCTCACACACAGAACATTGTGGATGTAACAAAATAAATCAAGAAATGATTCCCATCTGAGAATTTTAGCATTATTATATTATTATATTAGCACACTGACTGTGGGACAGCATTCTAAATGTGTCAGGCTATTAACAGCGCGCTGAAGATCTGAAGTTCAGAACGCGTAGACACACGGGAGGTGACAAACGACCGCGATCATCGAAATTTGTCACTGTCGCTTTTATTACCTGACACAAGGGAGGCGATCCATGGCAGCGGCAAAGCTGTCTACGCGTTCTGTTCCAAGGCGAAATCGAAACTTCCGTTGTTTTGTTTGGCTGTGTCAGGTTGGAGGGAATTAAGGTTATTTAAGCGGTTCAGAGTTAATAAAGCGGTAGACATGATGTTTCACAAGGTGCTGCTAGAGTTATGTGAAATCTTACTTCTGGTTTTACTATATAAAACATAATAATAATCAACTTCTCCTTCATGTTTGCTTGGAGGTGTATGGAGCATCCTGTCCACTCATTGGTCAGTGAATGAAACCTCCGTTGATTGATCCTCGTCAGAGCGACAGCAATGAAAAGTTGAAAATGTGTCCGTGCACGGCACGTGCACGAGTGCAAAATTTCACACGCACGTTTTTCGCGTTTCGCTTAGTAGGAGAGAGACCCGCGATTATCGCTTTGTCGCGCATGTCTCATTGAAAATAAATGGAGGAGAGGCGATGTCGCCTCCTGTGTGTCGAGCCCATTCGTTTGTGTGTCACAAAGCTGCCAAAAATGTTCAAGAACTGGGCTTTGTTTAATTCACTTTCAACAACATTTTAATGGACATTTCCAGAAATTGATGGTAAAAACTACACATTGTCTCTTGAAAGGTTTTTTGAGTTGCTTTAAAAGTGATTGGTGAAAACAAATTAACAAAAATAAATAGTTTTTTGTGCAAATTTTCATCGATATACTCTGTACAGTTTGTTACTGGAAGTTTTTTTTAATATAACATTTGCAAATATAATTGTAGTAACTTTACAATCTCTGCACAGACAAAAATGTGGGGAAATGTGGTTTTAACGTTGAGAACCGCCACATTTTTGTATTTGAGAACCTTTGTAAGCACGCTGACTGAGCGGTTGCCATATTTCCTACGGTTCGTGAAGGCAGCACGTCTCTGTACCACTACGAGCAGCAGCAGCAGCAGCAGCAGCGCTTTCTCCTCCTGTAACCTAAACAATGAGTCCTACTACAGACCGCAGGAAAGCACACCAATAGAATGCGTTACACAGACCGAAAACCCGACATATCGCTGCTATTCCGACGCCTCACCTAAATGTACGGACCGTAAACATGTGGATACCGACAGAACACGAAAAATACGGCGTCGGTAAGTTTATCAGCTGGTTTTTCAGACTGCTGCTCTGCTCTGTTCACTTGCAGTTGCAGGACGTGTATTAGGTAGCGGTGATGAATGGTTTCCAGTAGAACTGTTACACTGGTTTTATTTCTAAGGGCACCAAACGCGCTCATTACAACAGCCACATGTAACGCGTTGGATCGTTACTGTCACGTCTTGTATTTTATTCTAGTGGATTTTAAAAAAAACCTGCTTTTGAATGATCGTGGTATAAATTGGAGATATAATCTGTTTTTGCTTTTCTGTGCGTGTTTGAATGGTAAAACAGATTTTGTCTGAGTACATCCAGTCGCTGTATCTTGGTGCATTTTTGTGCAAACAGATGAAAATACTTCGAAGGGAAATTCAGTTAGAGAAAAAAGTGAAAAAAAGAAACCCTGGATATGTCTGCATCCTTACAGCGCATTGTTCCAGACAGTCTGGTGCTCAAAACACTCACATGAGACAAAACAACGCAAGCGAATTACTGGAATAAAACCCGCAAGGATTTCTTTTTGTCCGCGTGTAGAAATGTTCTGTTTGTCGGTCATTGCACCACAAAAAACAGACGCTTATTGAGATACGGCCGCTGAGAGGCGGCTTAAGTGTCTCATAATAATATTCCCTAGAGATGGGCTTCTGTGTGATCGCTACATGCCTCTACAGCCTCATTGAGTGTAACGTTTGCTGCCTTGTTAGGGAAAGGTGGTTTTACAAACCACTTGAAACCAATAAAACGGCCATTTGTTACAGTGAACAGTCACATGGCTGATCCCTTCTCTTTATTGCATTGCTTTTAGAGTTGGGTGTTTTTGGTATGTGTTTCAAAAATCTGCACAACAATTGCCTGAAATCAGGAAGGCACTGAATGAGAAACCAGCCCCTGGCCTCTGTGTCTGGTCTGATCAGTTGACTGCTTTGCAATAGTTTCCTCTGGTGTCTGCTTGTTTTCCTTCCCCAATCTCACTGGGCTGAGAGTGTTGGACACACATTTGGGAGAGCAGATGCAAATTTCACTCTGGAATCTCACTGGATTGGTACTCAAGACACTTTTGTGACATGCTTTGTGCCAAGAGAATACCCCCGCACATCACTACACCACCACCCCATTCAGATCAGACATAGCCCTTCTGCTTCAAGGTTCATTCTACTGCGGTTCAGAGATGGTACTCTGTTGACTTTGGTTGGAACCAAATGTTATCTGAGCTGCAGGTGTCTTTCTATCATCTCGAACCAGTCTGCCCTCTGACATCATTAAGACCTTTTCTTCTTTACCACTCACTTCTTTACCACTCACTGGATAGTTTCTCACTTGCAGGTTTGTAAACTGTAGAGAGGGTTGTGGGTAAAAATCTGAGTGGATTGGAAGGTTCTAAAATATTCAGAGCAGCCTGTCTAGCTCTCCAGTTCTCCACTCTGATGCTCTGTTTAAACTTCTAATCTTCACCAAGGTCTAGTTGCCTGAATGCATTGAGTTGCAGCCATATAATTGACTAATTGGCTGTTTGTGTTAAAAGCAATTGAACAGAAGTGCCTCTTAAAGTTGGGTGTAAATCTCAGTTTGTTCACAGTTCACTCTACTGTTGTTCAGTTAAGACTGACATTTATTGCGCTCAGAAACTTAACTGAGAAGCATTTGAAAATTCAAGATTAGTTCCTGGTTTGGGGTAGAAAAAAAAAACAAAAACAAAATGAACATAAAATTTGTCAAAAGCAAAGAGACAAAACGGTGTGGTTGTACGACTCACATAGGATGTTGAAAACCCTCACAAACAAAATGTTGGTCACACTTTGTCACCAACCACTGTTGCCTGGTGACATATTGGCTTAAAGAGCAAGTCACCCCCTACCAGAGTCTTACTCCACTCCACCTTCCTGTTTGAAAAATACAACAAATGCTGTTGCCTGGCAGACCGAGAGGGCGGAGCCGCTAACCAATACACACACACACACACACACACACACACACACACACACACACACACACACACACACACACACACACACACACACACACACACACACACACACACAGCCTCACAACGATATTGTGACATCATAACCAGCCAACGTCAAAGCATACCTCATAGCCAATAGTGATGGCATATCTAAATTAAAAAGCATTGCATAGTTTTTACCTGAAGATGGCGGAACACTGACAGTTTTGGGTAAAATATTTAAATTTGAACTAAGATGCACTAAAGTGCCAAATTATTGACTACACATGTCTACAGCATGATTAGACACTCATTTATGTAATTTATCAGCAAAAAAGTTGATTTGGTGGTGACTTGCTCTTTAAACTTATCTGATTTAAGTCACTATGCAGCATTGGAGTATTTTATCCCATGCACACAGTCCTCTAGAGCCCATAACTCCATGTTTTAATAGAATTAAACAGATTAATCCATTGAGCTACTTAAACCAAAGCCTGCTGTCAAAGTTCACTTTCAGGGATGAATGTAGCATAATTGTCCATTTGTTTTCCTGGCTAAATACTCACCTTTGTCCCCCAGACTGCTTAGGTTTGCCAAGTTACTTGGCTTATTTATTTATCTGTTTTTCAGTTCCACATATACAGCAATAAGACTCTTTTAATTGGCTGTGGTTTATTCTTTAAGACACGGATTGGCAGCGGCATGCTTCATTGTGGCTTGTTTCTTTTTGAGGAAGGAACAAGGGTGTTTTCCTGTTATGAAACTCTGGTAACATTATCCACTAACACTCACACATGCATGCCAAAACTACATGCACACACATAAAAAGATGTAGTGAGGAGCCTGTAGTGGCGCAGGCTTGCTAGATGTGATGACAGCGACTTTCAGACATTAGAACTTTCGTGGATCAGCCAGGTTGACGTTTTCTTGTTTTGAGTGTTAGTAATAGGATGATATTCATTCTCTTAGATGAAGTGAACAGAATCCTAAGGTAAGCAGTGGTTCACTTAAACGAAGGTTATACGATTCAAGGTTACATTAACAAAGAACAGACTTGAAAAGGTTTGAAGAACACTGGCCTTTCCCTAGGGACGATGATGACGGAACCCACCAGTAACATAAAAACAAAGGGAATATAAATCACATATGCCTGTTTTAGCCCGTTTAATCATGACATGGGCTAGATATGAATAGGACTGCCAAAAACGACTATTTTATTAGTCGACTGTCAGTTTTGATGACGATTAATGTTGACTAATTGTGTGTCATGTGTTCAATCACACACACACATCTTTTCGAAGGCCGTCTTGTATTTCCTTTCAATCCTAGTGGTGAAATGTGATCGGCCTGGTTCTGGGTTGAACTTCTCGATCATACCTTTAAAACCTTGATCGCCGACCATGAACAGGGGTCTCATGTCGGTTACCAGCATGTTCAAAATGGCATCGGTCAGGACGTTGGTTTGTCGCGGTGTGCACGTGTTTGGCCTTGTAAGAAACTCGTTCATTGTAGAACAAGAGCGCTCTCTTTTAGCACTGTAATGTTGCGGGATAAAATAAACCGTTAGCGTTTGTAACATCAGAGCAAATACGTGACATACATACATGTTCTAAACATGTGATCGCCATCACTACTGTTGTTGCTACAACTATGATGCTAGCAACTAACAAGAGGTAAATTTAAAGAGGCGACTCTTCGTTCTCCGCCGTCATGTGCTTCCTTTTAAGATGCTCGTGCATTGCCGAAGTGTTCCCGTGAAACGAGTTTCACCTTAGAGTTTACACTCTACTTGCTTCTCAGTTGTTTTAATAAAATGCTCCCAAACCTTTGAGCTCTGTTGCCGACTCGCCATGATGTGTTATTTCTCCGGTGATTCTGATCCAAATGCTGAGCTGGAGTGGCACTTCTGCGCTTGTGCCTCGACTTATGTAAGCAGCGGCTGACACGGATGGCGACTAGTGCGCATGTGCATTGAGCAGAGAGGCAGAAAGCAAACGGCGAACGTGCCACAGCAGGCGAGATTTAAAAAATGCTCATACAATGAATGACTGTTAAATTAACCATCGGCAATTTTTTTGGTCAACGTTGTCGTGACGCATTGACTAATCGTGGCAGCCCTACATATGAATGTAGGAATATTGACCTTGGACAGCAGCAGAAATGATAGTAGTGAAGCCTTGAAGTGGTCATTAGGGAAGAGGGTTTGCTCCTTCTGAAGAAACAACAGGCACTTGTGATCAGGTGTACTGCCACCTAAAAGCTGAACTCAGAGGGCTCTCCATAGCCCAAGGCTTTGAAGACTTTATTGTTTGTGGTTTAAGCATGGGTATCGAATGGGTCAGAGGCATTACAAGGCAGAAAATCAGATTATTCGGTCTTCAGACTGTTTGCCTGTTTGGCTGGAGAAAATACCCTTGTGAGAGAATCGCCTCATACAAGCTGTGCACACTGATCCCTAATTGGAACAGCTGATGCCTTTCGCTCTGCATTAACAAACCACTACTAGAAATAATATTGCACCCCAGTCGAGTTGACATGTCCTTTTCTTTCCACCAAAATCCATTTGAATCTTTCGCAAATAATCTCCCTGTAGAATTGTAGGTCTAATCATTGGTATGAGTGAATCTTCTCATTAGCTATTTTATATGTGACTGATCTCCTCCTGGTCTTTTTTAAAAACATTTTATCACCTTTTATAATGGGATACAGGTAATTCAAAAGGCCTTGCTATTCCTTAAATCCTTGCAAGAACATTTAGATCTCATAATCTTTTTCCGGCTCTTGATGGGTGCAGACGCTTTTTTTCTCCTCTCCTCCATATCTTATCCTCAAGGCCTTTGTCTGTCTCTGTGTGCTGGGTGCATGGCTGCTTCTGCATTTTTCTGGAAACTGGAAACTGAAATTCACTTAAATGGATCTCGTCAGCTGGTCTCAACGCGATTGATAACATTTTTTCAACGATGAGAACGGGAGAAGGGGCTCCTGGATGCCCCACCGGGACAGACCCAGTTGGACACATCATGGACTAAACAGTGGAACTCGATATGTCTTTCT